GTGATGAAAAGACATGTATTGAATCGATTAGTTTCTGGTTTTGATCTTTGGCTCTGAGGAACGGTAGGCAGTAATCCCTGGAATTATTTCTCGTATACAGAGTGCAAATGTAACACAACTTGCAGTACAAACCACTGGTGCTGTTATTACTTGTTTAGAGACTGTCGTATCGATTGGGGAGGGGATGGCATCACGTTTTCCTCTCCTCTAATTACTCCAATACTTAATTTCCTTGTGCTATACGTTACGAATCCAAGACCTGATGCTATTGGGAAGGGAGGCATCGAAAGGGAAAGAGCGCACCAAAAGTCTAATCCGTTAATAACAGAAAAGACGGGCAATATTGGGAACTGTAGGTCAAAATGGAATATAAAATAAACTAAATATATATGAATCTAAGCTTAATTACACCCAAAGGGCTTTGGGCTACAATCTTAGCAGCAATACAATCAATAGGAGGGCAGGTCAGGGCTGACTGAGTATATCAGCTCAACCTTATACCGTATTCCCGCACAAGCAACGGCGTGCCGTTATAAGTGAGGCTGGTCATTTTCCCAAAAATGGTTTTATGATACATTACCGGCGTGTCGGTATAAAGTGATGCACATATTTTCAAATGAGCATACATAATGCTGAAATATAGCAATACACTTACTAATTTTACATAGATTTATATGCTTTTCTAACATAAACTTATTTATACAACAAAAATCAATAAAATCATAAAATTAATAATTACATGTGATTTCAATTTATTTTTACCACATTTATATAACAAAATATTAATAATTTTTAAAATATTAAAACATATTTTGCATCTCACTTATTACGGCATACCGTTATAGCCCGGGATATAACGGTAGTCTCATGAACCTCACTTTAAACGGGCATGCCGGTGCTTGTGCGGGAATACGGTAGTACAGTATTCATACATTTCCTTATAAATGCCATTTATTGAAATATATTTGATATCAATTTGACCATTCATTTTGGTATATCTCAACTATGTCTACGTAACACAATATACAGTATTTAGAGATGATTGTCGAGACCTGACTATCCCTTTGATAGGAACTGCTCACAGCTTTAATAGAGCTTAAGTTCAAACGAATGGATTCAATGTTCTGATGGTTTGCAATATGTTGGTAACACTCCTATCATTCCCATTCCCACTCCCATTCAGCCCCTGAGCTATCATACAATTACACAAAATACTATATTTGGTCGCATTTGCGCTAAACTCAATTCAAATCAATTGTCAAATGTTTTAATATGATTTAGAATCACATAAATAGCACAAAGACTACATTATACCACACATGAGCTACACAAGACTACATTTCCTCCCATCCCATAAACTTTATGGTATATACCAATCCCTTTCACACTTGTTGTCATGCATTCAATATTTATTGCATTTTTATTCACGTGTTAGTCATCCAGTGATCAGAGAATTAATCAAAATTCTAAAACACAACGGATTATAAGATTAAAGTTTTTGTTTCAACTCAAAAAGTAATTATTTGTTATTTCGGATGTGAACTAATCGCCAATTTTTATGTTATATACCGTTAGTTCACCACTGCTTCGGGCGTTTAGCACTTAATCAATGCTTCATTCGTGAGAACATAGTCTCATAAATCTTTACTCCAAATCCTCATAAGCTTTGCTTTCATTTTATCATAATTTTTATTTCAATAAAATTTGTTCATTTCTTCCAATTTGAGACACTGTTCATCGATTTATTTGATTTTCAATTCTTCTATATTTGTTTGAATTATCATCAAATAGTTTATAGAATACAACATTCTTATTAATAATTCTAAATTTAATCACATAGAGTTAATATCACATATTTTTCTTAAAACACTTTATACTGTAATTGAATTAATATTTTGTGAATAAGACTAAAAAGAAAGAAATAAAAAGAATGGGAGAGTGAGTGAGTGAGAGTGAGTGAGAGAGAGAGAGAGAGAGAGATTGTAAAGAGAGTAAAGAAGGAGTGAGAGAAGTGTTAATCAGTGTAAAGAGAGATTCGCTGTAAGTTTGCATCACATCATTGCATAATAGAAGAGACAAACGCGAGGTTTGAGTGAAAGTAATTGAAATAAAAGTCACTATTGTTTGAGACATACATTTTTCGATGAATAATCAAAACCAATGTTTGGATTCTATCGTAAATTCAATTATTAAAGACAATGAGATTAAGTTTTGAATGAAATTTTCGTTGTGAATCCGATGCATAAAAGTTTGGCACAAAATTATAAATTGAATGAAAGCGTGGTCTTCCTTAAAATTGGCTTTAAAGTGAATTTTCAATTACTTTTAATGCATTTTATTTATGAATAGAAAAAATCGGTGAAATACAGATAATCATATGATTTGTGTTTAATATTCAGTGAAAGTAACTTCAAAGTCAAGTGATTTGAAAATATAAATAAAAAATGTAAAAAAGTCAACGAATGGTCGAACGCAAGGCATTACCGATGAGTTTATCTTTTGGTACGACAGTTGTCTTCTTCTTCTTGTTGGCGTCCATCTGAAAGCACTCCCAAAAGCGGAGCGTCTCGTCGGCGCCGACCGACGCCACTGTACTTCCGTCGGGACTCATCACTAAACCTAACACTCGGGCCGTATGTCCTAAACAAATGCATTACCAATTAGTTTATAAAAGCACATGAAAGCTTATATAAAACCACAAACCCGTTAATTCTGCCACTTTAGCTAAACCGGGATATTTCCAAATGATTAACTCATTGTTTGAATACCCGTGCGATGAGATTAACTCTTTATAATCTTTAGACCATAAAATGGCTGAAACCTATAGAATGCAGACAATGGCATCAATTGATCCAAATCTTGTGCATTAAAATAATAATTACTTGAGATTTAGCGTCGACTGTATATAAATTGGTGCCACTCTGACAGTTCCAGATACGGATAGTACGGTCAGCAGTGCCACCACCACTGGCCAAACAACTCGGTCTCCACGGACACCACGCAAGTGCCTGAAACACAATCAACAGGTCATACAATATGTTAGCAAATTGTCGAGAAGTAGAGTTCACTGTCACTATGAAAGTGAAATCAGATATTTAACTCATTTAATGAATGCTATTTTCATAAACAGTTTGTTGCTATAAAATTGCCGATAATTCTATGGTATAAGAAAAAGTGCTAAAAATGATTGACTAAACATTTATTAAACTAACAGTTTTGGGTTTAAACAAACGAATTTAAGTAATTATTTTTAGAATACATTAATCCGGGTATTAATATTTGATATTATTTTAGAAATATTTATGGCATATAAATTATGTGACATAATACATTATGTGCAAAACTGATGCATTCAGTTAAGCCACAAATTGTATGAAATAATGCAATGCTTTTGTTGAGTAACTTTAATAAGTTAATAGTGTTTACTGTTATGCAATGAAGTACTCTATCGATCACAACTACAATCTATAGGCTTTCCTAACAAAATTCATTCATAAATCAAATTCACTAAACATTAGGCACTAAATGAATTAAAAACGGGAAGTGTATCTAAAATTAATTCCTTCGCTGGCATTAATTTATGACTAGTTTGTGTGTCTGGGCTCCCGTGCCATCCATTGCCACAATTTATATGAATCTTGAGTTTACATATATTAGGAGCAAATGGAGAAATAAAAGTATTGCCACTTAAAGGTATTCGAGAGAGTAATACAATACTATAATACTCTCATTAATCTAAAATGTATAGCAAATTCTGTGGTTTCATTTCGCAATTCAAAACATTTAATTATAGCCATAAAAGCGAATCTCAAAATGAAACTCAAAATGCAAACAAACTACTCATTTGAGTCTTTTTTGGGATTCAAATTAAAAGTCGAGAATAAATCGATTAAAATTTCAAATCAAATAAACAACAATTGAATGATTGGTAAAAGTGTTCATAAATGTAAATGAATCGTCAAATTATTGCACTTTTGCCGTAATAAATATATTGATTGAGAGGAGTGGGTGTCTGATATGGTAGTGGTGTCTGTGCGCACTCTTATGGCTCTTATCGGTGCATATAATCTGAATGAAAGGCAATAAAAGCACTCACTCTTCACTCTTGGCTTTATTGGTTCAATAGTTTAAGCATTTTATAAACCATTCAATCATTACTGCACTTAAAACCTAAATATATGGCACTGTTGTAGATATGTTACAAAACTAATCAAACTTCAAACATATGGATAAGGATTCGCGAAACTATAGCAATCATACATTGGGTTAGGGATAGGGATAGGGATAGGGATGGGGATAGGGATAGGGATGGCATGAAAAGCATACCTTGACTGCCGCCTGATGTTCAGTGAATGTATGGATCGGTTTATTATTGTCTGCATTTTGTGTCATCGAGTTATTCCAGATTTGAATGGTATTATCGTTGCCACCACTGGCCAAATACTGTCCTCCCGGTGACCACTTTAGGCCACAAACCTCCTGATTGTGTCCATTGAGAGTAGAGATCAAATGGTTGGCCACTCGGACGTCGTTATTATAAATGAGACCAGTTTTAGTGCCACCGCTCAGTACATAGGAGTTCCAACTCATGGCGCCCACCCTTCCAGCGGTTCCACTCATAACTCTGAGTCGCTTAATGCGGTCGGTGTCCCACAACTGAATGTCTCCATCACTGGTTCCCACGGCTAAGTGGTTGCCCTCTTCGATCCAAGCGACAGACGACACGTACTGTTCCTCTTCTAATGTCAACAGATTAGTGATGTCTCCGGTGTTTGCGTTCCATAAGTAGATTTCCCTCATGAGAGCCACGGCTAAGATGTTGGAAGCGTTCCAATCGACGAGTTGCAGGTAATAGTCGTTCTTAACGTCGGGCGCGTCTAATATGCGTTCGGGTTGTGTCGGGATATAACGGGTCGTCTTCTTGGCCGAAGATGTGCTGCATTTACTCGAACTGTACAACACTTTCAAACTGTTTGCCTGTCCTTCCGGTGCCACCGGAGCCTTGTTCTGGTAGCACATGATCCTGAAGTTAGACAGATCTCCCACCAGATTCTCACTGATGGCCGACTGGTTGCTGCCATCGCTCGGTTGGCTCTCATTCTCTTTGCTGTTCATTATCTGCAATACATCTCTCTATTAGTCATGCATTCATTCAAATGAGTGGTAAATCACAAGACATTACCAAATAGTGACTGATGTCTGCATTCATGGCACTCCTGTTAGGTATGAACCGATCGGCGCCATTGCACGGAGTCTTCGGTGTCTTTGCTTTATTGCTGCTATTATTGGCTCTGAGACCACATCCAGGAGTAGTGGATCTGTTAGGAGTGGCCCTCTTGTTGGGCGTATTGGACGGCGTTTTACTCAATTGGTTGGCGCCGTTGACAGACATATTCAAAGACATGTTCACCACTGGCTCTACGGGACAGTTGAGGAGTAGGGATGCGTTGAGTGAGTTGTTGACACTGGAGGTCGACGTCTCGAGTCGTTTGCGTTGCCATCGCGCCAGAGGTGCACCCGTTATGGCCGACTCCATGGACGTGTGCGCCATCAGGATCTGGTTCTCCACTTCCCACTGACTGTTCATATTATCATCAATTCATCAATCAGTCAATCGCTGCAATGTTTGTCAAAATGGTATAAATGTATAAATAAAACGATTATTAATTGTATATTAATTGTATGATAATTGCATCGATTGTATAGTAATGGAGAAATGAATGGACAGTGAATTGAGTGCACGTATTGTTACTGTTATACCACTCATAGCATCAGTTATTTAAATGAAATCAATGTTTAAATCTCACCAAAACATCCTCCCATTGGCCACTGAGTTAAAGTGCACCCACGCATGCGCACTACCACTATAACTTGTACTGTCTCATTTTCATAAGTTTTGCATAATTTTCAATTAAAAATACCAACAATAGCACTTACAACTTGTTAAACTTTAGTTCACTTGTTGCCATATTAATCCAGTACTTATTTACAGACAATTAGCTTATTATTCAGTGTAAACATGCACAGGACCTGTGCTATAAAATTGAATAAAGTACAATACCGTACAATGAAGTTAAATGATAAACTCAAATCAGCTTGATTATAAAGTTGAATAATATAGAGTATCATAGTTTGAATTGATTGAATCAACTGATTGCGAATAGTTTCTCAAAATAAACTAAAAGTCAATAAATGAAACAAACACAATTATGAATTCAATCACTTATAATTGATTTTTATATTTAAATTAATTAATAACTTTACAAACTCATAAACAATTGACTATTTCTATGTTACTTAATCATCATTTATGAAATAACGTTTAAATAATTGAATTAGTTTTGATTCAAATCATTGAAAACATTTATAATTAGTTAAACATTTTATGAGACATGAAATTAATATCAAATTTGAATTAATCTAAAAATGATTTATAAAATGGATTTAAAAATGATTTATAAAATGAAGAGATTATAAAACATTTGTTGACTATATTCACAATAATTAGAATTAAATATATTTATATATGTATATAAAACTATAATTTAATTAATGGTTTCATCGCTTCGTGGTATGCGTCCGACATTTACCGCAATTACGATGATTAGTGCAAATGCAGAGCCAATGCAGGTGTGCGGCCATGTGTTGGCTAATCATTGCTAACTGTTCTCTCCATGTCTTCATTGTCTGCTTCGAATGTCACGTGTGTGAAGGGAAAGTGCTATTACGGTGATAGGGAAATGCAGATCAGTTAGTGATACATCAAACAAACAGTACATTTTCATATTGAAATCAGTGCTTTACGGCCATACAAATGACCGCTAATTAAACAATAAAGAAGTGCTTTTCATAAAAGAGACTTTGAAAGCAAATTTGTAAACTACGATAAGTAGTGACTGATTCACCACATCTACTCACCCCGACCTTTCCGTTTAGTTCCCCCTCCCACTGACCGTTTATGTTAGTTTTGGTCACTATTATGATGTCTCCCTTCTGTTCAATCAAACAATCAATCATTAATAATAACGCAAAAATCAATCAAATACTGTATTAAACTGTAAATTACTTCTAATTTTAACGCTGTTTTATCGTAAGCGTTGGGTATTCTCTGTTTGTTAACGACTGCCCGCGCCGGCAGTTTTCGTTGGATATGAATATTAGGAGTTATATATTTGGTCGGTTCCGATGTCCGCGTATTAGGAGTCGATTGACTAGTATTACAATTGTTTGCATTCGTATTGTCAGCAGAAGGCGACCATACGTTTGTCTGTCCGTCAATCGAGTGATTGTTTTCGTCCATCTATTCATTCATATCGTCATTACATTCACTATTCAATACATTGAGTCAATACACTGTGTCTACCATTTCGACGTATGGCACGGGTATGGAACCAGTTTGGCCTAAACTGTTGCGTGCGGTCCACCACTGGTCCTCATCTTTCGATATAACCGTTAGGATCTCATTCCTCTTGAAGGGCAGGTCATCGGAGTCGCCGCTCCCGTCAAAGTCATAGCGAGCCCTCACTTTCTCTACTCGTTTCGATGCCTTTCCAACCAAACAAATAGCGTTTAATGTAAAAGACATTCAATTCAATGGTAAGACATGACAATTGAATGGTAAGACATGACGTACGGGTCTAATGAGTGGTGTTGTGTCCAAATAGTGGAGTTTATAGAAGTTGAGGAGCGCCGGCACGTCGGGGAACATCTGATCCCCGATCCGAAAGCGTGTCTGATCTGCAGACGGCTGGATCTTATTGATGATGTAATGACTCACTTTGTTGTCCTCTCTGTACAAGCAATCAATACATCAACCAATCAATCAATACCGCAATGTCTGAATGGATGGCACAGACCTCACACACAGCACCAAATCGCCCACAATTGTGGTGCTGTTCCGGACTAAGAAGACTCCCGTCTCGTTCTCTGCCATCAATATAGCCGTCGCTTCGCTCCGATTGATTGGTCCGAAGTACCAACTGATCCATACGAAGACAATACAAACGCACATTAATATAGTCATCAAAAGTTGGTAAACAAAGCAATGTTTTGATTGCAATTCAGTCACATAAACATAAACATGTAATCAGATCTTCAGAATCCGTAGACAATAGTGTCATCAAGAAATTAATGGTAATGTCTTGGAGTGGATCCAATCAATACAAACCTGTTTTTGTCGTAGGGGTCGAAATTTGCTGCCATTGATTGCCAAACAATTGGTAAATGAAAACTTGTTATAACGTAATCAATGCTATAATCAACACTTTACTTGGAGTGGATCCAATCAATACAAACCTGTTTTTGTCGTAGGGGTCGAAATTTGCTGCCATTGATTGCCAAACAATTGGTAAATGAAAACTTGTTATAACGTAATCAATGCTATAATCAACACTTTAGGACACAAACTGTAATCCTATGCAACAGTTGAGAGAAGTGTTGACTAATTAACAGCTATAAGTAAATAGACATTGATTTGAATGATAATTATTGAAGTGTTGAATGCATTTGCAGTGAGTTTTCCGGAGGATATTAATAGCGATACACTTCTGCACCCATTCACAGTCACACTGACGACCACACGAGTGTTCACTGTATTATTGAGTGTAAGAGTCGACTGTTGACTGTCGACCGCCTTTCACACAAACATTGCTTCACCCAATCCGTAGACATACTATGGCATCGATACTGTATTACTGCATGAATGTTGAGCACAATGTTAGACATAGACTGTGACCGCATTGCCACTCATCACACCCACTGACGGCCACTCACACTGAGTCCACTGTCACGTCAGTCGCCGTCCAATCAATTGAATCGCACTGACAGTCACTGCCGTCCGCTGTAGTGACCGCGAGATACTATCGATACAATACCGATACATCGATAGTATCGTATCGTTTGAATGAAAATAAAAATACAATTTCTCTGTTTTGTATGATTTGTATGAATGATAATGTGATTAACGCGCGATTCACTGCTCATTCAGACAGTGATTTGCACGCTAACACACGTCCACTGCATGTCATGTCTTCACTCAATGCCTGTCCATCGCCTCTACGACCAGTTCCGCAGTTCTTCAACGACTGCAACAACGCTTTCACCACAAAAAAAGTAAGTTTTCACTCATGAGTTCATTTGATGGCTAATTATTGGTTAATTGTGGTGTTGAAGGCCCGGTACAACTCGACGCCCACTGCCAAGAAGGTGCCCCCCAGACCCCCCTCCAAGACTGTGCCCCCCATCAGCCGCTTCTTCAGACGCCCCAACCATTCGGCCG